CTAGAAAGAGAGAACACTGAAACTACTAAATGCTGGGAGCACAGTGGGCTGAGAAAGGAAGAGTGCAGGGGCCTGAGTATGTACATGCCTGCTATTGACATGCCCACAGTAAGAAGGAACATATAGAGGGAGATTATGGGAAGGTTTTTTTTTTCTTTTCTTTTTGCCTGTGTTTGTATTATTAATACAAAACAGGTGGCAGGGAAAGATCGTCACTATGAGTGCTTCCTTAGTCCTGGTTTCTGAATTTGGCTTCACATTCTATTTCAAAACAAGCAGCCATCTCTATGCAAGGTAAGACTTCTTTCTTTCAACTTCTGCCTTCCCTGCTGGTACTCTTGAGCTACTTCTCAAAAGGTGCTGGTCCCTGGTAGAGTAAGTTCTTGAAAATTATTATTCTATCAACTAAATAAATAATCTGAGCATCAACTGGGGTGTTAGCGTATCCAGCAACTCATAATGTTGGGCATGCACAGTGACAGCATCAGGAAGTAGAAGGAGCATACACAAGATGACATGAGCACGTCTCAAAAGCACCAGTACTGGCTCAGACTCAGGAAGCACGTTCTTCCACACTGCCCACTTCTCTCTCCCCTGAGAATTTATATGAGCGGCTTGTTGAAGAACGCTCCCTGACTAGGTGACGGTAAAAACAACAATTTTAGAATGGTTTTTAGTGAGCATAAATAATGTGAGGGACCATGCAAAAAGGGCTGTGACAAATGGTGGGGGGTGGGAGAACTTCTACTGTGCTGATTTCCACTGAATATGGGCAAAGAGTCAAGAGTCAGGCTGGAAAGTCAAGGATGCTGGAAAACCAAGCTAGGGAAATTGTTAACGAGGGTTAGGGTAGTGCTATGTGCACAGACCTCTCTAAATATTAGCAGATGTCCATTGGTGGGTGCCAGCTATAAGGAGGCTCTCTCGATTAGATAAAAAGGTAGTTCTCCTAGTGAATGACATTCCACTTCTTGATATTGCTGCCTCAGTACTCGCTCAAAAGGCACAATGACACAAGCTTTCTCTAAGGCTGACAGAACCACTACTGAGAGCTTTACAGAAAGGCATGATACAGGGTCCCTGACTTGGCAGGTTTTCCCACTGGGAACAGCTAGTACTTACTAACACTTCAGAAACAGTGAGCTGTGTTTCTTGCAGTAGAGTCAGTCTACACACAGACTTGGTTTTCCTGCCTGTGGTGCTCCTGCTAAAAGTCCACCAGGGTTTAGAGTATCCCTCGTCTTTATTACAGCGCCTCATTTCTGCATAAAAATACTCACAGGCAGAGTAATGAGACAACGAGATGCTGCCCTGAGAATTCAACAGCTCATGAACGCACCTCTATAAGCAGCTTTCATCCTGGACTGACCTTGGAGACTCATTTATGGTACTTGCTGGGTAATGGTTTTGTGGGCTTGGGGTACTGGTACAAGTTACAGTATATTACATGCTGCTATTTTCCCTGTAAGAAGAAAACACTAACTTAGCATCCGAAAGTGGCTCTTTTCACTGCCATCCTTAATGCTCCTGTAGCATATTTACTGCTTCTCCCTAAAATACTGGGCTCCTCTGATTTTGAGGTTTTCCATTCCCAGAGAAAAAAATAGTTCCATGAAGAATTGGAGGTATTTACAGAACAGATAAAAATGATGAAAGACTTTAAAGCACAGGGAAATGATAGCATCACTATTTTATTATACACTACTATTTTAAGTTGTAACAGAGAGACTGTGGGATGGCTCAGGGGTAAAGGTGCTTGTCTATAAGAGCCATGTCCTGAGTCATATCCCTAGGAGTGAGTGTGTGTAGGAGTGCCTGCAGGCACACATACAGTCTGCAAAATAAATGTAATTTGGATTTAAAAGTCATAGTTCTGGCAGTCCACTGACTATCTAAAGGTCTATAATACATAGTTTATCTTTCCTGTACTAAGCGGCTTTCCCTATGAGGAATGGTCTTTAAATGACAGATACAAGTGCAGCAAATCCAGGTAACATTTAATTTGCAGTAGAGTATACAGCAGAACAGAAATTTCCAAACTATATGATTCTAAAGAAGAGCCTAAATAAGACATTTCCACATTTAACAAGCTGGGAATTCCCCCACAGGGTCTGAAAGCATTTTCTTCTTTCACACCATCACAGAAGCCCAGGCAATTACAACTTCTTTTGAGAAAACTAATGAAAACCAGCAATCCTAATCTGAGCCAGTCTTGGAGTGGGAGTCTGGAGACACACTTCCCTGCATCCTGAACTTATTTAAGAGTACACACATTATATCTGTGAATATTAACGGATTTTTTTCTCCAAATCTGTTTGGAAAAGTTATTACCGTGACTAGATGTTCACAATCCAGTGTGGCCTGCTGCCAAGCTGGCACTCAGAACCCTCAACTCAGCAGAGGCAAAGGAACTGCACGCAGCCAGGGAGTAATGGAAGCTGGGGTTTAACCAAGGCACATGGGGAGGGGGGAAGGCCACCGAGCACAATAAACACGCTAGAAAGCTCGCGCAACTAAGTTCCTAAGTGAGTGACCAGAAATAAATATATGATGCCAGTTTTCTAACAGGAAAGCCACAGACCCTGAGTACTTCAGGCCAGGCACGGTCCTACGTGCTCAGTGAGCCTCCAAACAGCTCTGTTTTATGCAGTAAAAGAGACAAGAGGTCAAGTAACTTGTCAACAAAGGTCACACCGTAGTGTCAAAGTAGAGACCTAGAACCAATGGACTGACTGATACCAGCCTTGGCTATCACTGCCCTGTGGATTACTAAGGTAGGGACGGGAGGAAGTAAGGAGGCACCTGTCTTGGGTGCATGCTTAAGAAGGCTCCCAAACACCTCAAGCACAGGACACTTCAAAGAAAATTTAAAAATGAGAATGCAAAAATCGCACGGCAAAAAGACACTCTGAAATGGAGCCAGGGTCACAACTATTGATTCGGCCTTCGCCCGGGCCACTGTCTGGCTTGGCACTACTCTTAGATCTGCCCATGCTTACCATGCAGAAGCACGTGAGGTGCAGAGTATGCCTGGACCTCACTGAACACCCAAGCAAAACCCAAAACAAATTAGTCCTTTCGCGTTAAACTGTAAGCTTTAATCAATGATTTGTTAATTCAGTTACAGTAACTGAACTGCTGGTGTCAGCTTGCTGAGGTGAGCAACAGGTGGAAGCATGGAATAAAAACTACTGAGTATAACGAATCCTGAGTATTCAAAGCACTCACAGGTCAGGATGAGAAAAGAAAGCCATTTTGGCCAAAGTAAATTCTGTTCCTAGCCTTAATCCGACATGTCGATCTTATCCATGGCCACACTGAGTAAAGATGTATTCATTTAGCTGGGGCTTACTGAATGTCCACCATGCACCACATCTAAAGTCACTGATCTCAGAATAGTGGAATGGCCAAGTAGAATTTTGATACAGAAAATGTGAAGCAGAACAAAAGTACTTGTTTGTGTACACAGCTACTTATGGGCACGCACTTTCTCATCCATCTTGCACGTCACCCTGGTTTGTAGACAGAAAGGCAGGAGTCCAGAGAAGTCACACTTCGTAAAACACCATCTAGCTAGAAAGTGCCGGAGCTAGACCTACTTGACCCCAAATATCCCTTGCTTTGGTGTCTGATATAACTATCAAAATCTTTTAAATTTGTACAGACTCAATCTAGAAAACACTCATAAGTGAAAACATAAAAACTCTTCACCAAATAAAACTAGAAATATATGTTTACACATGGATAGGATCAAAGGAAGTCTGAGTAAATGCAGCTGATACCAACCTTAAACCCTACATAAGTGGTATAGAAAGAGACCTATTTAAGGCTAAGGGTCAAACTTATGCTTCAAGAAGATGAAAGGTTTGTTTCACTCTGTATTTGACAGAAACGGAAGACTTTCAAGTGCTTTAATTATGGTCAGAACTTTCATATCCAGAAGGTCGGCTAACATCAACACTCCCAACAACAAAGTGCTATCATTAAACATGATCTATCTCCAGGTGTAACTGGGACTAAAGCTTGAAGGTTTCATATATATATATACACATATATATGTAAATATGTGTGAGTATGTATATACATACAGATATATGTGTAATTTAGTGAAAGGTCACAGTTAGTGGATATAGGTAAATCAATTATATAGCTTTTCATTTTTTCCTTTGTACTCAGTGACCATTTACTTCGTTTATGGCTTTCAAGTTACTTCCCTACTTCAGAATATCAGATTTAACTTAAACTTATTAATGCAAAAACTTGGTTAGCCGAAATATGAATTCCAGTCTTGAAAGTGTTAGGTCTGTTCAGTGAAAAGAAATAACACACCTGGGAAGGAGTTATCTAACCTGAAATGTTTTACAAGAGAGAATAGTAATTTTACTAAAGATTAGATTTATTCACAGTAAGTACATCTTGTACCACTTGGTCTAAATTCTGCATTTCAATTTTTACTTTGTATTTATTTATCTAGTGGATGCATATATGTGGGCACATGTTTCTCAGCTCACTGTGGAGGTCAGAGGAGTCAGATCTCTTCTTCTGGCATGACAGCAAGTGCCTTTACTAACTGAGCCACCCCACTGGTCCAATACAGCATTTGGAAAATGCAGGAACGGAGGCTGCTGATGGAGCACAATGGAAGAGTGCTTGCCTAGAGTGTGCACAAGCTGGCACTTGCTCACCTGCCCAGTATAACCAGGCATGAAGACACACACCTGTAATCCCAGCACTAAACAGGCAGAGGCAGGAGGATCAGAAACTGAAGGTCATCCTTGCATGAATGGTGAGTTCAAGGCCAGCCTAAGATATATGATCCCCTATTTTAAAATAAAAAAGGGCACAGATAGTAACAACAATAAAAAAATCATTTCTCTAATCTGGAAGATGAGTGGAGTCTAGTAGTTGGTGAGGAAAAACCACTCTCAAGTCTTGTCAAAATACTACTGAAGAGGGCATTTACAGACTTCCGAAACACTGGTAAGGAGATCAGTACTTACTTGATAATCATTTCTCTTAATATTTGGAACATCCATGTTGTGAGTAGAAGGGCAAATATCTTCATATTTTTTGCCAGTGAAAATATCAATTCCAACAAGGTGTACCTAACCAGAGGAGAACAACAGGAAACACATTTAATCTCTGTCACATATGTCACTCATTACACAGGAGCACAATACCTGATGGTAATGAATTCTTTCAGCTCTTTCCAAGGTCATTTTGGTTTCTTTAAAAAAAAGTTGTGGTGGCATAGGACTGAGATGCGGTAAAACACCTGAAACTTGAACAGCTTCATGCCATCAGAACTCAATGCACTACAGATCTCAGACTTCAATGACAGGAATCCACAGAAAATGAAGACCAGGTCTTCTTAGAACTATAAGAACAGGTTTGTTCCAACTATAAACAAGATGTTTTAGACCACCAGGATCCAAGAAAGTTTTAGCTTCCAGTTAATACAACATTCTTACGGCCCAACTAAAGGAGAGCATTCAGAATTATAGCTGATCACCCCGAGACTGATGGAAGAAAAAAAAAGTTATTTTATATATAGAAACCTCACGATGTAGAATGGAACACAAATGATCTTATTGTTGAAGCCAGAGGAGGACTTGGAAGGGCTTACCTTGGCATGACCATGCTTTCCAGTCTTGGAAGTTGACATCTCCACGATTTTGCAGGGTCGTCCTTTGAGCACCACGAAGCCGTTTTTGCGCAGGGCTGAGCACTGCATAGGGTATGTGCTGGAAGCCCCCGCATCTCCGGTAGTGAAATCAATTTCGTCTGCCATGGTGGGCTGGGGAGATGCGTGGTTTTTCTGAGGGAACTATGTAAAAAGTTTGTTTGCTTTTTAATAACGGGCACGCCAGCAGGGGCATGTCTCATTTGGGGGGGGGGGTGGCAGGTAGCAAGCCGAGCACCACCGGCCCGTTATTTTTGCATTTATAGGACACCCACTCTGAGCGGTATACACTTTGCCTTTCAGGCCTCTAAAAACTTTTCCAGCCCTTGGTGGTAGGTGGGGAGGGAAGCCGCAGAGGAGCTTGCCCGGGAGTGAAGGCGACACCAGAGCTGAGCCAGCAGGTCCGATCCCAACCATCCCAACCACGACCTTCCTGCGCCGGGCTGCAGGGCCCGGTACCTCCACCCCATCCCGGCTCCCAAGGCGTCAGCCAGGCCGCAGGTCCGGGGATGGCTGGGACAGGCGCACCCGGTCTGTGCACCTGGCCCTCCGCGCGCCTAGCACCCGCAGCGGCGCCGCCCTGGCATCCCGGTTCGGCCCAGCGGCGAAGGGCCTGAGCCCCATCGGTCCCTCGCTCGCCCGCCCTCTAGTTGCAGAGCATCTCGGCTCCTCCCCTCGCCGGGACCCCAGCATCGCCGGCTGCAGACCCCGCCCCGCCCCGCCGGCCCGGCCCCAGGTCTTCACCTTCCGGCCCGCAGCGCACGCCGCCTTTGCTGCGTCCGCCGGTCCCTGCGGCTGCGGCGGCGCTGGTGGCCCCGGCTGGTCCAGGAGACGGGGCGGGGCCGCCACGCTTCCCACACCCGGCTCCCCGCCCCGGCCCGCCCCTCCATGACCCGCCCCGCCGTGGCCACACTTCCGGGATAGGCCCTGGCCCGCCACAGGCCCCGCCTCCAGATCGCCCATTGGCTCCAGGCTTCCCGAGTCCCCGCCCAGTCACGTGAAGCGCGCCCTGGCAACCCCACGTGCTGCGGATTAGTGCACTTCCGGCGTGCGGAGCTGGTTGCAGTCGACAGCTTGAAGCTTCGCTGTGCTCCCGGGCGGGATGCATCCTCATCTTCAGTTCGGGTCTCAGCTGACCTCTGGGATGGCCGTTAGGACCAGGTCGCTCGAACCCGGTCCCTAGCACGCAGGTGCATGGATGCTGTCACTCAGTGGTCTTTAGAGCTCGCGAATCCCGCGGTTTTTCCTAGCGTCCGGAGCGGCGATGGAGTGGAACTTTAATTCAAGCCTCCGGTACAGCTTGCAGCCCTCCTTGGGACCCATGCTCGAAGAAGAGTGTTAGGTGCGGTGTGTTATTTCATGCCTCTGCATTGTGGGTGCTCAGAGGACTCCGGACACCCTATGGTGGGGTGCTGGTGCAGCCTGGCCAGAGTCAGCAGTGCTCCAGGGGTGGGAAATCCTTTAGGATGTGAGCTAACTCACGTGTCCAGAGATTCGGCTCTGCCCTTCAATCTTCCTGGCACTTGTGTGCCCTGGAGTTTGGGGTTTTGCTGTTGCTTGTGTTCTTAAGACAAAAATTCTTACCAGGTGTCCTTTCCTTTCACGGTTTCATCGTATCTGCATTTCTCTCACCTTGGAGAGAATCTAGGTGATTAACTTACACTCCACAACCCGGTTCCTGTCGTTCGAGGATTTTGGTATTGCTGTCTTGTAGGTAAATCCAGTCTCATATTCACGTATGCACATATACATATATGCAGAACGTATTTCCCTTGTGCTGTTTAGAAGCAATAAACACACGGCTTCTGTAGTAAACTCCACCTCTTGTTAATATGTGAAAGAGCCAAATTAGAACCACAGGCTATTGCGTTCTCTTTGCTTTTCCTTCCGCTGCCCAACTTTCCCTGTTACTGCTACTACTACTTATTGCTGCCGCTAATGTTTAAATAATTGCATAGTGTACTGTTTCATGTCCATCGTTTAATCTTGACTACTAACGTTTTTGTTTTAACTAAGGTTAAATTTAGAATTTATATGAAATAAACTTTGTAGTTCTATGAGTTTTGAAAAAGAAAATCAGTTATATAATCAATGTACAGAATATTTTTCTCATTCCATAATTTCCTGTGCCTTTTTATTTTTATCATCAGCCCTGTTTTCCACCCCCCCTCCGCCCCCCACCTCACAGCCAGCCATACCTAGGCAACCCATCAGCAGACACTCCTTTATCTGCATTTTCAATGATGGGGGCAGGCAGGGAAAATGAAGCCATTTGCCGTGAATCTTGTAGCTTGAAGTCAGAGAATTAAAGTTCAAATCACTGCTTTGTCTACCACCATATTCAGGCCTTCACATAAAATTTGTATGTAGAAGCAAATGACTTTTGTTGTTTTGAGACAGGGGTTTCTCTGTGTAGCCTTGGCTGTCCTGGACTCGCTTTGTAGACCAGGCTGGCCTCGAACTCACAGAGATCCACCTGCCCCCTGCCTCCCCAAGAGCTGGGATTATAGGTGTGCACCACCACGTCTGGTTCAGATGACTATTTAATTGAACAAATAAAGAGCCTTTTCCTGAGGTCTTTAGCATGCTGAAGTAGCAAATTCTGAGCCCTTGATTTTAGGAGAGTGACAGTATTAGGTTCCTTGTGGGTTCTGGTGACCACATTTTCATTCTTAACTGGAGATTGTCATGTTTATGTCTCTTAACGACACATTTTCTCATATGTATTGTTAACACTGGGCATGTGGCGAACAGCACAGTAATTCAAACCTGAAGGTGTTTTATTGACACACTTGTCTATTGTGTAGAAACACCAGAGAACTTTTCGACATATTTGGGGAACATAAACAGGGAAATCACCAACAGAAGGCACGAAATGCAAAATAGAAAACAAAGCTCTGAAAATGGTAGTAAATAGACCGAAAAGAACACCTGTGTGCAGTTTGATCGTTGAAACCTTAACAGAGAACACTGCTGTGTTTGACCTCAGCTAGACAAGTGTAGCGCTCAGATCTCTGTGGATCTCTGCACATCCACAGATGACCCAGAAAACATTGTTTTGGAGGTTACTAGTGAGTTTTCTTTTGTGTATATGTAAACCCACAAATGTGGAATCCAAAATTAGTGAGGACAGTATTTTTTATCTATTTATTGAATATTTATTTAGCATCCTCACTTCTGGAATTTCCAGGTAGCCCCTCGTTCATAAGCTGCTTGCAGTCTGTGAGTCTAGCAATTTTCAGAGATATATAATATGAACATAACTATAGGACACTGACAAAAGGAGCATCTTGTTTAGCCTAAATGCTGGTCCGGTGGAATCCGAGGCAATCCATGCCATTTTGAGTTTCCTACAGACAGGGTGAAAGGTTTTTTTTCTAAAGCTGGAATTAACATCCCATGGATATGTTTAGTTTAACTTAATAAATATGTCTAGATATTCTTAAACATGTAGCCATGTAAAATTATTACTAAGCCATTGCACGTTCTTTTTTATCAGTACTAAGTCTTTACGATCTGCTGTGTGTTTTCACTTAACATCTAAACTCAGAGTAACCACATTTCAAGTGTACCGTAAGCTGTATGCGGCTGGTGGTAAAGGTGCGCCTTTGTCCCTGGCATCTTTCTGTCTTCTCTCTGCTTCCGGACACATACTCCCAGGCCATGATGTTCTGTACAAGTACATGAAGCCAAGCCATCAGCCAAAATAAATACTTCCTCCCTTAAGATGTTTATGTCTGCCATTTTGGCCACAACAAGAAAAAGCTAATGCAGAAGGGGTTTGGATAATGCAATTTAAGCCAAATGAAATGGGAGTAAAAGAGCCTAAATAACAGAATCATGATTTTAATCTTGCACTGCAAGTGCTTGGTATGCACTGTGAAGAGTTGAGTGAATTTTTACTGTGTTCTAAGGGCAGTAAAAAAAAGCTAAAACAATACAGATGATGAAATTATAGCTTTTTTTTTTAAATTTAGAAAGACTGCTGGTTAAGTTACCTTCATAGGGGAGAAAACAGAAGAAGGAAGTTAATTATAAATAAAGTTTATTTTAGTAAAAAAAAATTGTGACTTTGAAGAGTCAAAATCAAGAGACTTATTCGGGAAGAATGGAAAGAATGTTGTAATTGAATATTAGAGGTCAAGATGGAGAAGCACAGGCTGTAAAGAATTAAACTTAGACATGTCTTATGTCATTAATATCCCATCTACGGAGATGGAAAATTTAGAGGAAGCAAGTTTCAGGAAAATTGAGTTTGCTTTAAGGGGAAGTGAATTGAAAATTCTTGTGGGAAATAGAATCTCTGAACTGGAGATGTAGATTGGTGAATCATCAGCATGGGTGTGATGGTGTAATGGTTATAGCTATGGTAGTGGATGAACTGTCTTGGAATAAGTAGGCATGGTTGTTTTAGCACTCGTGTTGCTTGAGGAAACACTATGATCAAAAGCACCTTGGAGAAGAGATGGTTTATTTCAGCCTTCAGTGTGTAGTCCATAATCCAGGGAAGTCAGGGTAGGAACCTGGAAGCAGGGACTGATGAAGAGGCAATGGGGCAGTGCTGTTTACTGGCTTCCTCTTCGTGGCTTGTTCAACCTGATTACTTTATGGTACCCAGGACCACCAGCCCAGGGGTGGCACTACTTACACTTGGCCCTTTCACATTAATCATTAATTGAGAAAATGTGCCACTGGCTCACCCATAGGCCAATCTGAAGGGGGCATTTTCTCAATTGAGAATCCCTATTTCAAGATGACTTTAGCTTGTGTCAAATTGACATAAAATTAGCAAGCACAATTAATCCCTTGTCAATATGACACACTAGAGCCTTTCCTTTATCATTTGTCCCCAAGATGGCATGTTATTATCACAATATAAAGGATAAATAACTTTCAATGTCCCACAGTCCTTAAATTCTAAACATTTGAAAGTTCAGTCTTTTAAAAATATCCAAAGTCATTGGAAAGACTCTAACTAGCAGTGTTTTCAAAGCAAAGACTCATGACCAAACCTTTGTCAGAGTACAGGGAATTATAAGAAAGAAGGGAAGTTAGTATGATGGGGAAAGGATAGGAGCTCCACAAGGACCAAAGATATCTGGGCACAGGGTCTTTTCTGAGACTGACATGCAACCAAGGTATGAATGTAACCTAGAACCTCTGCTCAGATGTAGCCTGTGGTAGCTCAGTAACCAATTGGTTTCCCATAGTGAGGGGAACAAGGACTATTTCTAACAGGAACTCAACTCAATGACTGGCTCTTTGGCCTCCCCACCCCCCAAGGGAGGAGCAGTCCTGTTAGTCCACAGAGGAGAGCTTTGCAGCCAGTCCTGAAGATACCTGATAAAACAGGATCAGATGAATGGGGAGGAGGTCCCCCCTATCAGTGGACTTGGCAAGGGGCACGGTGGAGAGGAGGGAGGGAGGGAGGGACTGGGAGGGAATGAGGGATCGGGACACGGCTGGGGTACAGAGTTAATAAAATGTAACTGATAAGAAAAAAATAAAATACAAAAAAAAATATCCAAAGTCTCTTTAAAAGTTCCAATTTTCTCTAAAATTTCTACAGTCTCTTTAAAACTCTTAAGTCTCTAAAAGTTCGAACTGTGGTTTCCTGGAAAATCAAAATAAGTATGTTGTTCTTACAAGAGGGAAGAACCAGGACATAGTCTCCATCAAAGCAAAAGCAAAATCAACATTATAAGAAGTTCAGTGCTTAATCTGGGACCGACTCATGGCCTCTGGGCTCCAAAGAGCGTGGGTCACATCTCTGGCTCTGCCTTCTGCAGCACATACAGCT